AGGTTTACGATGTCCATCAAAACTTCCAAAAGTTCGATTAGCGGCGTCCCGAGCCGCGCCGTCAGGGAGGAGTGCACGGAAATCTCCACCGAAGTCGGCTCCCCCGCCGTAAGCTCCACCCCCACGCGAACGACCGAACCGCCGCCGAGGATGTCGTGGGCGGGATCCCGGCAATCCACGATGCTCGGCTTGTGTAAAACACACAAAACACCGCTCCGCACCGCGCGGATTTTCAGAACCACCTCAGCGGTGGCGAACGAAAGCGAAAACCGCGGCGCCGCGGAGGGCTGCAGGCTTATCGGATCATCCGCGTACACATCCCAGCCGAGATTCTCCACGTTGAGCTCAACCCGCAGCTTGGGCAAATTCATCCCCCCCGGCGGCCCCTCCCCAGCCGGGCTGGGAAGATTCGAGATCTGGGAAAGATTGGCATCGTCGGAGGCCGCAAAGCTGCCCGAACGCTCTTGGAAATGAAGTAATCCGCCCGACCCCCCGCCCCAATCCCCCGCCGACCAGTCTGAGATCCACGCCTCGATCATGTTGGTGAGGCGATACATCTGATGGAGGGAAATCGTGAGGCGCAGATTCGGCACTTTCAGTCGTAAAATAAACCGATCGCGCTCGTCCGCGGCGTCCTCGATGAGCTGTAGGACGTTCGCCTCGATTGATACATTTGGAATTAACATCAAACCCGTTTGCGGCTGCCGAAGTGCCCTCTCGAGGGTGGTCAGCTCGACAAAAAAACGACTAAACGACGCCTCATTGGTGTAGTAAAGCATCTCTTCCGAATCCCGGCTGTTCGCCAGGCGCCGCTGCTTTACTATCTCGCTCAACGGGCGCGTCTGGAAGTGAATCCGACCCAGCGAAACCGCCATCGTCGGCGCCTGAAGAGAGCCCTGAAGGCTTTGCGGGAGCAAAATCACCGGCGCGGCGGCGTCGATGGAGAGAAAAATCCCTTTAATCTCCGTCATCGTCCGGCGGATATTCTCCGCGGCGACGGACTCCACCGCGTTGGCGGCCCGCCGCGTGTGCACCGCCAGACGGGAGAAATCCACCCCTTTTGGAATGTCAAAAAAGTGAAAAAGCCGCCTGACGAAGGTGGGATCAGCAATAATGCGCAGAGGCTGCAGGAGAACACGCAGCGCGACGTCCAGCCGTGTCCCCGCAAAAAGTTCCTCCACGGGATTCAGTCCCAGGCCAATACTAACCAGCGGCGTCCCCCGCAAGGTCGAATCCGTTGATAAAGTCTTTTTCCCTTTTAAAGGAGGAAGTTGAAGAATCTGGCATAAAGAAGGAAAGGCCGCCATCCGCGACCTCCCTTTTTCACCCTCGGAGAACTCAAAAGCCCCCTCTGGAAGGTCGGAAGGCTTTTTCGAGACGATAGGCTGCTGAATCAACGTATTCGGGGACGCCGTCATGCCCTCCACTAAGATCGGAACCGACCGGCCCACAGCGGACGTCATCGCCGGGTTTGATAAAGAAATATTTTGCATAGAAAAGTGAACTGCACAGGACTTGCTCGCGTTGAAGACACGAACACCGCCGCGGAGCTCATAAAAGTGAAGAGAGGTGCTCTGAAAAGGATCCAATAAAGCCCCCCCGGATACGGTCTTGTCGTCGACAAAATCGATCTGGTAGCTCATGAAAGGGATATCAAAGCTCAACTCCAACCACGTGTAGTTGGGCGGCAGATTCGGCGTCATCGAAGTGCCCACGTCCGAATCGCCGCCATCCGGCGAAAGATCAATCTCGTAATCCATCGCCAAGCTCTTTAAAAACTCCTCCTCCTCATCCACATCAGTGTCTGTGATGGGGTAGGTGAAAACACGTGAAGAGCGAAGCCACCCCATAATATTCCACGATGAGCCGCCTTCTTTCTTTTCCACAGCCTGACCCTGGGGCGTTTGCGCCGTCAAAACTTCAGACCGTTTATGCTCATTATCCTTACGTTTTAGCTGAATCTCATCCACGAGTTTGGCGTAAACGGACTTTCGCCCAGCAATCATATCTGGAACCGTCATAAAGCGCGTGATAAAGCGATACGTCCGCTTCCGTTCCGGCGAAAGCTCAACCTTGCGCATAACCTCTCGATAGAGAACCTGATAATCCAACGCGCAGGCGCTCGAAATGCGTTTGAGAAGGCGCTTCCGACGAGGCTCCGTGATCGCGTTCAGGACTGTCTGAATCGCGTATCGCCACCACCCCCGCACGTTTTTCTTCACGGGCTCTTTTGGACGTCGAAAAGCGATCTCGCGCACCTCCCGCCAGTTCACCAGTCGAGCGATCGCACTCACGATCGTGGCGTACTGCGGGCGGGAAAGACGGCCGGTGATGTTCGAGAAGGTCGAGTGAAGGGTCGCGTAAGGGGTCTCCAGCAGCTGCCGCGCAAAACGATGAAACACCAGGCGAAGGTCCAAACTCCCGGAAACGGGGCCGAAAATGGTGGAAAAGGGACGCGTCCGTTCCCGCGCCCGCACTAGCATCGCCTGATTCCATGTCTCCCAGTCCTCCATCCTACTACACCATTGCATGCTGACGGTGTCCATCTTTCCCGCCTCCCCCGCCAAACGTGTCGGGTCATCGCAGTAAAGCTGAACGCCATCGAAAATGAGGCGCTTGGAGGTTTTTTGGCGCCCGGCGGGGTCGACAAAAGTCGCCTTGCCGGTCTCCTCATCCATCGTCAGCAGCTGAACCCCGGCGAGGATCGCCCCGACCGCGACGAGGTTCGCCGGGTCCTCATACCGCACGTGCACCGTGCGAACCTTCACAATCACGTTATTCACAATCGTCTCGCCTAATTGGGCAAAAAAGCCGCCTGGAGGGGCCCCCGCCGAGGTCGGGGGCGCCGCGTCGGCGCCGGCCTCTTTCCGCTGCTGGCGCCGCTCGAGCTCGAACTCCGCCAACGCCCGGGCTTTCTGGGCGGCGATGCGGTCCCATTTCGCCCCTTTATCGGGAACCCCCCCCGCCTCCCTGCCGTCGTCGTTCCCCTCCCCACCCATCGCCTGCAGCGTAATGAGGAGCTCCCCGATCTCCACCACCACCGGCTTCGAGCGGAGGTGTTTGAGGGGGATCACCAGGCTGACCCTCTTGCAGACCCCACGAAACAACCCCAAAGGCGGCGGCCCCTCCGAAGTCTCCCCCTCCGCCGCGAAGGAGGAGGCGCGCAGAAGGGCATCCAACGCGCTTGGCTTGAGCACGAGATCCTGCAAAGATGCCTTGCCATTCCAAATATCGATATTGAGTGAGTGGGTATCGATATTTTCTACATATTTGCTAACGTACGGAACCAGAAGCGAAGAAATATACTTTTCTAACATGATAGTTTAGGTGTATATTTGTATGAGAAGCCGTTCTACCGTACCTACTCACTTTTGCGTTATCACAAAACAATATCTTATTGAGTTGCGCAACTCTCTTGTCTCAGCTTTGCTATTTATATGTATAGAATATAACAAAAAAAAGCAATAAATACAAAAAAAATAAAACAATGATAACTGAGGTATCGGTGCTTTCTTATTAAATCTAAAATAGAAAAAAAATCACTAAAAACGTCCCAGCAAACTTAATTGTAACTTGGATTTCTAAAGGTTGCTACGGATACAACAATAATGGTAGCCTAACTCAGATTTGGGCCTCGACCAAACGCAACACTCCAGATAGAAAGAATATGAAAACTTCTTGGCTGTTACAGTTTTATCACTACAGTGTATTTGATTCACGCTTTTATAGAGTGGATTTTACTGCTTTCCTATTGTATGTTGATCCTTTTCAACTATATACAAATGAACAAGCTATAGGAAAATAAAAAGACCTCTATCCTTTTAATATAACTGTCAAAGAACATACCCTAGAAAGACTCAAGCAGTTATAATAACAATAAGTCTTGTACCCTCTGGTTCAAGCTATCAATGAAAAATGGGTAGAGTCCAATGATAAATGAGACATCTCACGATACGATAACATCAAATGAATAGTCAAAAGAGAACACACGCCGTTTGTTTGTTCACTAATTCTATCCATCACAATTTTGGCAGGCAGAAATCATAATATTTGATATATAAAAGGTTGTTGTTTGAAAGAAATGTGAAGGAAGGAACAATTGGATATCCAAATAAAAAGAGAATGATAAGTATACACGCCTTGGAATTAATCGTGATGATCGCACTTCCCCTGACTTTCAGAGGAAGTTTCCAAATGCAATTCTTTAACAAAAAATTCTTTCACAGCCTTCAAAATCAACAATATAATAATATAGTTTATAAGTGTAATAAAAAATAATGAACTACTATAATAGATAATATCGAAATATATATATGTACATATATTTGATTTTAAACAAAACGCTATGTTTTTATTTTGTCACTTTATTCCCACAGTGGTGTTGCTATTTTTGAGTATTAGCAACATCTTGTTTAAGAGGAGGGAGAGAAGAAAGAAAAATATTTACAATACTGCTCATCGTTTATTTGAACTCCTGGTTTAGCAAGAGAACGAGATGAAAAGAAGCAAAGTATGGAGGTCACGAGCTAATAGATGGAAAAATGATCCAAGAGGGAAATATCCTATGTAATTGGATGAAAATATACTAAATGCAAATCACAACGCTAGACACATGTGTAAAATAAATAAATGTTGAATTTTACACATAATAATCAACTTGTTTAGTTATTGCCGAGAAAAGGTGAAATACCTCTTTCGATTTGCTTTTCGGAATACACAGATACGAATACTAAATAAGCATTCCTACAATGTAGGTGAAAATCCTTACATTTAAATAAGAGTACCCTATCTCATACTTGAAGAAAACACATATGTGGTGAAAATGGCTTAAAGATAAATCAACAAATAGATGAACCCCTCACTGCGATCCCTTTCATGATCCTATTGTATTAGTTCCTTCCGTATTACACCATCAGCCATAAAAAGGAATATCTAATCACCTTACTATTGCATGATCTTATCCTGATGACGATCATTGTCATCAAATACCAATCTAAGACTCATAAACCAGCGGATGGTTCAAAAGACAATGCGCTCGTCAGCGTCTTAGGGTAGAAGAGGGAGGATCCTCCCTCATCGTTCCGCATGTTGTCCTCGCACCTACCCCAACCCCGCAGTACCTCACCGATCGCCCGTATGATAAAGAAGGACTGTTCAGACGGCTGCAGCAGGTCCTGAGCGAGCTTCCCGATCACCACCCCGGCGCCGCACGCAAACCCCATCTTCACCCGTACATCAGAACCGCCCGAGAAGCCGTAGCCCGCCCCCACCTCTAGATGCCGCACGAGCCAGACGTAGGTCGCGGGCTTGAGACTAGGACCAC